AGATGAGGAAGGTTTGTTATTACAATGAGCTGGACCCATCCCTAATATAAACTTTGTCTGATTGATATAGCTACTGTCCTTCTTGAATAATAGGTCTAAACAGTCTAATGTTAATACATCCTTCTAACACTAAGCCCAACAAGATGACATATTGTCTAAACTGAGAAATACAAGCAAAGAACTGGTTAACATCTGGACTTTTGATTAATTTACAATCGGAAAATTGTCACACATCATCAAACCCGATCAGCAGTCCTTCTCTAAAGTATGCAACACAATTTTTCCTCTTCCTCTTCAAAAGGAGGAAGCCCCCCCCCGTCCCCGTCTAACTCTTTGCCAATGTGCTGAGCCAGTGGAAAATCCAACGTCTGTTCAAGAAACAAAGTGGTGTAGAAAGATTGGTTGACCAGAGGAAGCAATATTCATACAGCGTGTCCTCACTGATAGGGACCTGGTTGTGTAAGTTCACTAATGCAACATCTTCAGGATCGCATTTTCCACTTGCCTTGGCTGAAGAGGCACATGATCTCTGAGTGGACCATCGGCATTTCCACCACAGTCATATGTTTATTTAAAAAAAAAAAAAATGTTTAGGAAATAACTGCTAATCTGTGTGGCTTGTGATTTATCTTTTCCATTCCCTTTGGCTTTTCCATTTTGCATTGTTTCATGATCAAGTGTCTTAATCAGTTCACAGCAGCGTGTTATCTAACAATGTGATAAGATGCCGAGTCTGCAACTAAGTTCCTCTCTGTTAGAACAGCAGACACATTCACGAGGGTGCCAGTTGCTAGACACTCTTCCACTGAACCTGCAATTATTTGTCAAGCTATCTTGTCTCATGGTGTGTAGAGCTCTACCCCAGTAATTAAAGTTCTATGTTGGGATGAAAACACATGCACACACAAAACCACAGCTCTCTTGTTTATTCTCAAATGTGACAACACTTTTGTCTAACTTTTTTTGTGTTGTGCATCGTGTTCCTCTATGAAGCCATGTGCTCTCTTTCAACCTAAGTTAATAAAGTGGTTCTTTTTTAGTGTGTTTTTAATAAACGCAGAAGTTACCCCGAAGGCAGCATCCCCTTTTGGGAGACTTTTGGCATGCCTCATCATTAATGCTTACTCAGGCAGCATAAACAACACATTAGTATGCACAAAGGCTAATGACACTTGACATTTACTGTAGTTCACAAGATGCTCCAGAGCATATGGCAAATCTCCTCTGAGAAACTGAGTCAACAGCAAGACTGAGACAACAGCTGCCGGGAAAATTATTGGTCTCCCCAATTTAAAAACTCTAAACAAAACTACTTACATGGCTCTCTGAATGTATTTGCACAGATGTAATTTCCTTTTCAGTTAAGCAACAGGATTAATTTAAATACATTTTTCTTCAGCGGTTAATTTCTGAGCTTACTGCCACGCTCTCTGTTGCAGATACATGTAGTCTTTTTATTTTTATTTATTTATAATTCACTCTCTCTATTAACAATTCAAAAGACCAAACAGTTCTCAGGTTGTTATATATACAGCTAAAAGGCCCTTCTTGTGGGGTTTCACCAGCTCGCTCACTTCTGCGGTCCCAAAGTCTTTAAATGGATTGAAGGCGAGATTAAGTGTTTTTAACGGAACAAATAGGCAGTGATGGCAAAGGAAATTCCAATTTATTGTCTGTCATATTTAAATAAAGAATAGACATTAAAACATTAGCCGCAGACAGGAAAGAAAATGGCGTGGAAAGTTTTACTTGATGACTCTTTTAATATCTTATAGTGAAACTGTTTCATTATGTCTGAATGTTTGAGTGCATTTCTTATCATATTTGTGTGATTTCAAAAAAAATCTTTTACATTCCTTAAATTGTATTGAAAATTAATGTATGTTAAAGGAATAGTTCAACATTTAGGGAATTACTCTTTCTAGTGGAGAGTAAGATTAGAATAGGAATTAATACCACACATATTTGTCCTTTAAATATGATGCTATAGCCAGCAGCTGGTTATCTCAGCTTAGCACAAAGTTCTGTGCTGGACTCTTTCTCTCGCTGTACTGCATCAAACCAAGAAATAGTCTGGCACAGACCACCCTGAACTAGGGGCTAGCGATATCTCCCAGTTTCCAGCCTTTGTGCTTAGATAAGCTAACCAAGTGCTGGCTGTAGAAATACACTGACTATACAGACATGCGAGTGGTATCTTCACGTTGAACTCTCCATTATAAAGCGAATACGCGTATTTTTCTAAACTATTTCTTTAACAGTATAAACACAAATAATAAACTACTGTAGGCTACTCTTGTAAATCTGCAACCCTCCTGCTGCTCAAACCTTCTAATCTACCGTTTGCATTAGATATTGTTTGGTATTGAACTTGTTTACTTGCTTGCTTGTTTCTGAGAGGACATTTTGAGACTATATTAGCATTCCTACTATTAGATTCTTGTGTGCGTGCCCTGGCTTCTGCAGTGTCTGAACAAGTGAGATATTAAGGGAAGATACAGACTGATTGATAGACAAAGATAGGCAGACAGAGCGAGAGTGAGAGAAATGGGTGGCATCAGTGTCATGTTAGAGGGACATCTGCTCAGGGTTGGCCAAACACAAAGCACTGCAGGCTGCCAATCAGGAAGTCACCAAAACCACTGACAGTGAAGTGGCATAAAAATAGGTCTAGTCTCTACATCAGCAATACAGGGTTTGAGGGGTCCGCAGAGCAGATCCCGTTTGCCAGTTCTAGCTTGGCTGAGGCCTGTGTTATTGTTGGATGTACGAGAAAAACATCAAGATCGAAGCGCTGCGGTGCAACTCTATCTTGAAGTCTCAGAGCAGAAGATTGACAGCTGAATATATGTGATGCGTGGAGGATGCATATTTGACACCCAGAGATAACCGACTGCATCATCTCGCTGATGGCTGCTTTTGCAAACATTGGTCAAAACTCTACCCATGTTACCTCTCAATTTTACGGGCGATTCAATTAAAACAAAAGGCGATCACATTACAGAATCAAGTGTTAATTAACTGAATTTGTACTATGTGTACTAATGTATTGTACTATAGTACTATATGTACTAACCAGATGAGTCAAAGAAATCGTGGTTTAAAGAGATTGGTTGGATGTTTATGAGTGAGAGAACAGATGCAAAAAACAGTCACCAACATAATACATTTTATGGTGATCTGTCTATTGTATAAATATTTTGTCTGTCTATATCCCTTTTTGATTGTTCCTGTCTGCTTTTGACCGAACCAACTCAGTCAAATCACACAGACATAAGACCAAATGATTGCTCAAGTCAACTTACATAAATCAAGTTTTTTTTCCCTCTACTTCCTCTTTTCCCCCTCCCTTGACGTTGATCTGACTCAGAAGTTCTGAAACAACATTTTCCAACTTTTAAATTGCATACAGTCGTAAACATGTTGAACTCTTCCCTTGTTTACAAATCTGAAGAGGTAAATGTTTCTGTGCACTTAGGGCTGTTGTGTTAATGATAAATCCCATTATGTCAAGGCAGCAAGTATATTACACTGGGGTTTGACCTCAACTGGGGTTATTGTCTGTTTATCATCTACCACCATTTGTCTTGTTTTTAAACCTGGGGCCCACCACAGTCAGATAAAGTTGTCGGTCAGAAGACAGTTGCTTTGCCAGACTTGGTTCGTGCAAATGTCTGATGTACTATATACACCTTGACTGAAAAATGTTTTTACTGTCTTTGTGCACATATTGAACATTCTGTATCATGCACTTTGTATTTCTAATTCAGTTACTTTTTCAGGTGCTGAAGCTTTGCACCTTATATCCCTCAAGGCTCTGTTCAAATCATAAATTGGAGATATATGTGCTCCTGCGTATTATATTGTATACACTTCTCTTAAAGTATTTGGTGATCATAAGGGATTTTCTGCTGCACCATAGTTGTGAAGCATATTCTGTGGTTGATCTGTCTATTAACAATGTGCTGTTCAGTTTCTGTAGTATAAGTAGTCTAGGGGTATTTCACTGACAGTTGGCCCCAGTAACAGGCAGCTGATTGTTGAATGTGTGACTCCTTCTCAACAGGACTAAAGAAGCGCAAAGAATACAGGCATTGAATCCAGAGAAGACGAAGAAAAAAAGCGCTACGTCATGGAAAGAATGACGTCAGGTATTATTAGGCGCCGAGGGAAGAGCCTTGTGTAGCCTAGGTGGAGTTCAGACAGCCACACAGCAGAAACGATGCGGCAGTGAGGTTTCGGCGCGTACTTTTTGCAGGCTGCATCATATGATAGGAAATGGGGGGGGCTGAATAATCCTGTTATTATAAAGCAACACGGGAGCAAAGAGGGAGTACGAGGGGATCATGACGTAACCGTTTCCATAGGCGACTGATATGCTGGCTAAGCCAATGGGAATCCACACTAGCGGTCCATACCTATCCTCTTTTTAACGTGCATCACATGTCCCCAGCGGTGTAGTGACCGAAAGGAGCTAAGCGAGGCGAGATGATTCACCTCAGTATACTTCCGTCTTCGTCAAAACCTACATTAGAAAAACCGAACCATTTTTTCTTTGGGTGGTTGTGTCCCACATGGTGTCTAATACATTTTCACTTAGATTTTAATGCTTACAGTTTCAGAGAATTGATATTGTTATGAGAAACATACATTTCATTGTATTAATAGAAAAAACAGGTGATCTTGGTCTGCACGTGTCCTATAATGAAGCGGTCCTTTATGAATCACCCATGTGCTCATCAGTATTATCTAGATAAGTTAGCCATTGGGTGCATTCGTTGTGACAACATCATGTCGGTTGACCGTTATTACAACAGTGTTAGATAGCTGTACGCATGTGTCATGTTTTCCGGCAAGTGGACGTAGGTGTCCACGGGCTCTAAAGGGATGGGAACCATCTTGACAGTTCAGGCAGGAGACTTTGGTTGTGGTTGTGACAGCGCAGTGGGCGGGATTTTACCTCAGAGCAGGGGAGAGAGTCCAGTCTTTGGTGAGACTGAGGGGGAGTGAAAGAGAGAAAGGGAGCTGGGGTACTCTTCAGAGAACGGAGTAAGTATTTTTTGTTATATTTTCCTGTGCTAACGCGACAAAATGCAGCAAGATAAGGACTGCGTCCAAGTGTTGTGGACGTTGCATATAACACCCTGATTGGTTAAGTCTTAATTTTTGTATGCAGTGATCAACGAGGGCCAGCCACTGGTGGGTAGCTGCCTTGGGTAGTTAGCTTTATGCCAAGCTAACATCGTTAGCTAACGTGAAATCTTGAATAGATACTGACACTGGGCGTCTCGTTTTCAACTCAGGTAGCCATTCAGCCAGGATGCTGCCAGATTGCCTTTGCTTGTGTTTAGTTTATTTAGACCTCTGTGTTGCCATGGGCTAAGTTTTTTGACTTGTCAGTCTCTGGGAAGTAGATTTTGTATATTTCCTTTCTTTACAATCAGCATATGCTAACGCCTGGGAGCTAGTTGGCTAACATTGCACGTTAGCCTGGATCGATGTTTTTTAACGTTGGACTCCACACGTTACAGTCTCTCGTGGGTAGCAGATTGACGGTGAGACGTGGAAGCGGTTAGAGACTGCCTGTGAAATAACGCTAGACACATTAATGTGAACCTCTATATCGGTACGAGAAAGTTACCTGAATTTCATTCTATCATACAAACCTCAGAGTTACATTCGGGTGCATTTTACGATTTGTCATTTAACCCATTTAACATTATATAGGCACCCCTTTTATAGGCAAAGAGATAAAGGCAGTAAGCTAGCGTTAGTGGGGTAATATCAACCGGCGGTGCGATACTCTCCGACTGTTGGACTCCACGCACTGCGGTTCCTCACACGGACAACTCGGGAGCTCGGAGAGGCACATTAAAGTAATTTTGTGGGCTGTCTGTCATTACAGAGTAGACACAGTAAATATGTAATTTAATGCGAGTATCAGTAACGTCGTTTGTCGTACAACGTGTCCCTACGCTGTCAAAGTTAGACACCCAGTCGGGGAATATCATTTGCCGGTGTTGTGTCGAAGTCTACCCTTGTGTTATCTTTTACTCTATCCTGACCCCAGACTTTAACTGTAACATCTACTTGTCAATGTCTAACCTCAACCACGGAGGGCACCTCTCTATTGAAAACACTATTTTGCACCATGTCTGTCTAACATCAAGCTACATATCAAGCCTAAATGTCATAGTTGGAACCTTACACTTTCATCGGTGCAATTTACATCGCTATTTTTAACAAATAACGTTCATTTCCTGACTAGCAAGGCAAATGAAATTCAGTTACACGAAACATTGAACCGCATGTCGCTTTAAATTACCAATACCAGTCACTGAATGACGGTAATGTCTCGTAATATCTCGTATTTCCTAAACTTTCCAGCTCCTGCGAGTTGATTACATGTATCAGCGTTACACTTTTGACCTTGATAGGCAATGTAATATTGTTTCGCACTCGCTAACATTACCAGCAAGTTTCCAGGTTGATGTGGAGTGCAGCCTCTGAGCACCTTTTGGTGTCTAGTTGAAGGGATCACTCCTTATCCACTGAAACAGCACCCGGCTTGCTGCAGCGCCAGCAGTGTCTTCCTGTGTTTGTATAGAATAGCTCGTGATCCTTCAGTGGATTGAGAGTCGTATTGTAGTTTTATTAAAAATATATTTAAGCACAGAATTTAGCTTGAGCTTAAAGTAGATAGACTGTGATTCAATGATACAAGGTATACCAGTCATTATAGTATGGTATTGTTATCTGTAGATATATTACTTAATATAATTACGGCTAAGCAATTCCATAGACAAGCATTATAGTCAGTATACTGTGTTGTGAATATGGGGCTAGATGTAGAGACAGTTTATAGAATTTAGTTTTCAGTAGAAATGTTTGAACTTTCCAGATTTTACAACATTGGAAAAAAAATTTCTAGGTTAAGCAACGAGTGATATTTCATTATTGTTGTCTAGCTCAGCATATAGAGATCTAGAGTTTGTTTAATGATTCACTTAAACCATCAGTAACACAATCTGTTGCTGTGTCTGAGCCCTTTGAACTCGGACTGTTGCTGTCACTCAAGAATGACAAAAATATCCTTTCTTATTCCCTGCTGTACCATGCTTTTTCATAATGGCTGGCTATCGCCCTGACTAAAGGATATGAGTCAGTAGTTGTTACACTTGTTTTGTAAATAGTTTTGGAAAATGGGTATATGTCAGAGGCAAGAGCGGTTGACCTCCTTGGCTGTGGTTCTGCTGGATAGTGTTTTACCTACTTACATTTTGTAGACCAACAACCTTTCAAGACTATACCTCTAGGTTTGCTCTTTTGTACAGTGCATATTAGGTTCAGTAGGCATGCTGGTGATGCTCTGATTTCCACTAATCTAACATCATAGCTTGCTGTTAAAATAAGTGCTGTTTGTGGTCACGGAGCAATAGTCACTGTGAAGCAATGCAGTATACCGAGTACACTTTCTTCGGGGCAGTATCGCCTGTCAAGTCTGTCCATACTTTATCATAGAGTAGCAACCCCCCCCAATAACCCCTCTGCTTGATATGTCCACTCATTTCATTGTCATGTTCTGCATGTGAGTCAGTTACAACCATATCTTAAAAAATAATTGATTTTGTTAATAGCAACAATTTCAGATGCTTGTCCTGAGTTGAATCTGTATTTCTCAGTCCAATTTTTGAAAGAGTGTAGTGTCAAGTATGATTTTAGAGAGCAAGCCACTATAGTTCATTAATCTAAGGTGACTTTGAGCTTCATGTAAACTGGCATTGAAAGCTAAATATGGTCTGATTTTGTACCATTTAGTACAATGTATTTATGGTACTATTTACTTATGATGGAGTTTTGCTTATCTTTGTTTTTCTGTGTGGATTATAAGGACAAGGTTATTCCAAGCAGAGGTTTTAGGTTACATGGAGTTTGACTCATTCATTACTACTCATTCATTTAAATGTGGCCTAACAAAGCAAGCAGTAGGATCGAACTACACTGGTATGACTTAAATTTACTTTTTAAAACACTGGGTTAATGTTATAGATGCAGGGACACCCAGGGGATCATCATTTGAGAAATTGGCAAAACAAATTTGATAAACTGCACACTAAAGCAATTCTAAGGCACACACTGCTAAATATCATGAATTAGTCATCAAGACAGCTAGAATGTCTAACTATGCTACAAGGTGGTCGACCAGACATTTATGTTAGTTGTGGCATTTCTGAAAAGAAGATTAAGCTTGTGTATTTCCATAGAATTTAAATTTACTATTTTTTTTTTATCTTTGTAGCATCATTACTAAGTATATAAAATATAACCATACTGCTAGACGGTCTTTAGTGTTAAGAGTTGCTGGTTGAGGTGGACAGTATCACTTGTGGCATGAGGTACACAGTTGCTGGTGTAGTGTTCTTTACACATCTGAACTATCACTGTGGCAGGTTTCTGAAAAATTTAAAAACCTTGCTATATCAGGCTAATGGAGACAATGGAAAAATCACATTTCACTCTCTCTGGCTTTTAAAATGTAGCTCTCCAATTTCTCCTCTTCAGAACAAATTTTTCACCATCTATATACTAATTCACCTGCAGATTTTGTGTTGCCCTGTCTAGTGACCCTGCCATTACACCAAGCTTAGTCACACTGAATGAAGTTTCACTAACTGTGAAAACACGGGTGGTTGGCTTGAACCCCTCTTGAGTAAAGGTATTGTTAATCAGTCTTAAGACATTTGTCTGAAATTTACTATGACATGGCTGTTCGAATAAAAGTCCGACTTACACAGGGCGGATGTGAAAGTGCTGTCTAGCAACATAGTATCAGCTTTAAGACTTCACATACTTCCACCCACTTCCCTGTTATTAGTCTATAGAAGCATTTTGTACATATATGTTTGTGACTAATTTCATTCTGTACCACGGGCCATGGTAAAAATGAATTTAAAACTCAACACTAACGTGTTCCGAAATTGAAATGGTAAGGACAGCAAGGTCAGATTGTGGCAGCAAATGGTAGGGCCGGCAGGACCTCAGGCCACTGAGCTGCTATGTAGAATCACATGTAACAAAGACCACAGAGAGCTTCTCATCTTCAAAATGGCTCGATGAAAGATGCTTCATTTTGGAATCTTGTCCATCCTATGGACACGACAGACTTCATAATGGCTACATAAAACCATCCCTCCTGGTTTTCTCACCTCTAAATTAAAAATATGATAATATTTCACAGTCACTACTTACACATTTAGTTACATTATTGAGGCAATTTGAATGCTTCAAAAGAACACATTTAATGGGAACAATTCAGTCACCTTCACTTCAGCATACAGGGATTGAATGATCTCTTTACTTAAGCTTGTTTCATTTTTGTGGATGGGTCCTTTTAATGGGCAAGCCTAATTATAAGCACTCTGCCCTAATCTGCTGGTCATTCTTGTGTCTAAATTTCTTCATATTCAAATGTTAGGGCATTTTTGTGGATCAAAAATCAAAATTGGTGTCTGCTCTCATTTATGATGTAAGCAGCAAAATTTCTGCCCCACTTCCAGGCTAGTATGCACTACACCTGCATGGATTGTGACTTAATCTTCACTGTTTTCATTGGTAGAATCAATGGATACTACTTGATGACAAAGAATGAACACCTGATTTCTTTACACAAAAGTTTAACAACAAAAATACATTGAATTATTTAGTAGCATAAACAGCTGCAGTGTTACATGAAAGAAAACATACAGGCATTAATTTAAATGTACCAAACAACTTATTTATGAATAAATTACTTTAATAAAATAGATACATCTAACTAAATATAAATTAAGCAATTGTCCTGAAAGCATGCTTAAAAGAATAAAACAGACATACAGAGCCACTACAACTCATGTAAACATCTCATTCAGAAGTAATTGCCACACCTTAAATCCATGTCAAAATTATTATGTATTCTTTTCTTTTCACCATCACATGTCCCTCCATACATGAAGTAAAAAGAGCTGAAGAGGAAAAGTGTGTTGACGGTGACACCTCTGACTGCGCCTTTCGTGTGTATTGCCAGCCTGACAGCATTTGAGGTTCAAGTCTGTGGGGTAAAGAAGCGCTCTCAGCTCCGAGCTCTGCAGCACAAGGAGGGCTGGGTGTCTCTGCTTTGTACCCTCCACATTTACATGGCCTGACCCAGTTCAGCAGTGGCTAGCAGTGGGGGGAGGGGCAGTCTGGGGGAAGCTAAAAATACCACCCCTCGCATTAGGCAGCTCCATTGCAGAGGGATCCCTAGAATTGCTATCCTTGACTTGCATCGAGTTGTTGGCACGTAGAGGTGTGCAAACTGCCAGAGGGTTTCCTTAGCGTGGAAACAAAGACATGAGTATAATTCTGAGATGGCCACCACTGTTGTCCTCTCTACTTGTTTCTACTCACCACAGCCCTTCTGGGTGGGGGGATAAGTGTGCATCTAATGTGTGATAGCTGCCTGAAATAGCTTGGGTGGAGGAGAGACTTAAGACTTAGTCTCTGGTCCTTGGGTGAAACCAGCACATATTTATGCTGAGCTATGGTTTTGCTGCGGTTGTCTGTAAAGGGTTAACCTTCGCCTCTGTCATTCAACCATACCATGCCAGCTGTTGGCTTGGAGATCCAATCACAATGATTTTCCACTGTTGTGACATGTGACCTGCTCCGCAACCCGAAACTGTCGCAGCACAGCAAATGTTGGCACTTCCTTCAGCTTGGCGTTGTTGCTGCTTGTGGTGTTAGGGAGTGTGAATGTAGGAGAGAGCTCATAGAGGAAGACATGAGGACAGGGAAATGGAGAAGGCAGAGAATTACATTCATTACCATAGGCTGCGGTACATGTGCTCTGCCCATGTGGTACCCAAGGCAAGTGAAATATCTGTTTAAGATAAGTCCTTAAAGGTCCGTTTACACAGTTGAAAAACTGTATTCTTTTTGCGAGGTGCAATATGAAATTCACTTTCACTTTTAGGCATATGAAACTCAAAACTTTGACTATCCTGGTGTCTACAATCAATAAGCCAAATGTTTTTCACATTTTTTTCACTTTTATTTGAAATAGTTAATCTTAAAGTAAGAAAGTAGTGAAACGAAATAATAGCAAGTAATGCTTTTAAATATGAAATAGAAATGAAGACATTCAAATAATGATTATTACTATGTTTTTCTATAAAGTACACCTTTATCATACATCTCAAAAACTGGGATATACAATGTCCAGAACTGACTAAAAGAAATGAATAAACATCTCATCTGATTGAAAAACTGAAGGATCTGATGATTTGATTAATGTTACAGTCATATGAATTGTAAACTTTCGTATCAGCAACATTGATAATAATTGTTCAACTCAAAATATTGCTCAGCCCTATACATCAGAAAATATAGTATTGATAGCTCTACATTCAAAGAGATAGCATACTACTTTATCACTGGGTGTTACCAAGATGATGCCTGACTGATAAAAGTTGGTTTGTGATTCAACTACAGATAAACATCTCATTTCTCACACAGCTAATATGTGAGACACTGCGAGAGATGTAGAACTTGTGTAGTGGTCCATGGGTTTTGTAGAGCGTACAACCTTAAGCATTTCTGAGAAGTTAGCACGGTGGTGTTCCCTGATATTTCTGCATGAGGATATGCCTTTTTACTTTTTCATGGAAATGAAAACAGTGGTGTGAATCGTATGATTATGATGTGATTATAATTGATATCATGTGATGATGTTAGGCAAAACAACATCAGACTTGTTGTCATTAAAACTCAGAAATGATTACATTTTGTAATGGGCATGTCAACATGCACTGAAGATCCTAAATCTGTGGTCAGTACTAGAGGTGGAAAGAGGTGTATTTCCTCCTCAAAATAGAGATTTCTGCGATCTCTCCCACCTCGGTAATACACCCGGCCCTGCAATTATGCTGTGTAATAAATAATAAATTCTGTCCTGTTTTCCATGGCAGATGGCTCCAAATAGAATCTCAACATGTGACAGAATAGTTTCCAAGAATCTCAATGGAATAAGCTGCAAGCTTTCATTTGTGCAGTGAGCAATAATAAAGGCTACATTTTCTGCCCGTCTGCATCTGCGTCCCAGTTTAAAGGTCTGACATATTTTTGAGTTTAGATGTTAGTTTGGATTTACATGTTTACATGTTTTGATGTTTGTAATATAGTCTGAAACCCAGAAAATGAGTAAAACCTCCCGAGCTGAGGGATAGCTGCAGCATTTTTCCAGGCAAGGAAAAACATCCATGTCTGTCTTCACTGGTGCTTTTCTATATGTATCAGATGGCTATGTCCAGGTTCCCCTCAATGCAGATTATAGTCTGGCATGGCTTTCTACCTGAAAGTACAGTATAGTGTTTCACAAATTTTTTCAGACTAGTAATCAAGCCCATCTTGTTGAATCTTTCAAATAAATCCAATCCGACATGAATGAATCACCCTCATTGTGTTTGGCTGATTAAAGCTGAATGGACAGCAACCTCTCATTAGAATGGACTCCCCCATGTAGAGCACCATGGAGCTCCCTGATGCCACAGATAGTCTTAATTAGATTAAACAGAAGGCTTTTCCTAAGGTAATCAGTCAGTTGGTGCCTGTTCACTACGTTACCCCACAAGTTTCACTGCAGGGAAGCTTGTAGCTAGTTTTCTGACTCTGTCACAGAAAAGAAATCAGACCTACTGTATGGATAAACATGGATTTCTAGATTTGAATTTAACACTTTACTTAACATGTGGTCATACTAGGAAGCTGCTGTTCCCATCACGCAGATTGGCCTCATAGCGTGTAAAACAGCTGAAATTTTCCAATTATTATAACTTTTATAATCAGAAATGGATATCTAACAATATATGAACATTAACATTACAAAATCAAGATGAGGAGTAATAATAAAAAAACATGATGAAACCCAAAACAGTTGAGGCATTTAATTCTCTACAGAAGCTGGGCTTATTTTTATGTTGCACTAATCAGTAACTTTAATTACATTCAGGGCACGTGTGTGTAATTTTCCTTGCCTACCTCACTATTAATTACAGCACCAAATACCTGTGTAGTGAGTCCACTGATTGATTGATTCAAAGTGGATCACGGAATAGTTACATGATGATGTTACTGAATTTTATGACTTCCTCTGTGCGGTGTTCTGCAACAATTGCAGATGCAAATATTTTTTGAAACACACATTTTAAATGATAGTGTGCTGGCTTTTTTGCTGCAGGTAGATTTTTATCTTGTAATTTACTGGGCTTGCTAATATTTAAGATCCATGAGTAGGATACCAGCTACTGGCCAGAAAACAGATTTTCACTAGTGCTTAAGCTTGTATCTTATGTGCATGAAGTAGTTTTAACACACACCCTTCAGCCAGTCAGAAGGCAGCAAATGAAATTAAACCAAACTCAGTGAGTCAATCCAAATCCAGCATATGCAAGAAACTGAATTTGGAGATGCTGCTGGAAGCCCTTTACTGTGAAATGGCTACAAGAACCATTGAGTTTGTATTAACAGTATATGAATGTTGCAGAGGGGAAACGACTATCTTTAAATTCTCTACGCAGGAAAAACCCTGGGAGCAGCTTGTAGCTGAGTGATTATTGAATACTAATGCTCCATTCTATTCACATACTCCGGCTGGGAAGCAGAGTGCACATTACCAGACGAGTTTTGTCCAGATGACAAAATTATTATTATTTTAATACAACTCAAGTACAGCTAATCAAAATCTCAGTAGCTTCAGACAGTTTTGCTAATAATTTTTCTACTTGTCTCAGCAGCCAAATGGAAGTGGAAGGGCCTCCATGTTTCCTCTTATGCAGCAGTAAAATGTTTCATCAGAGGTGTCTGTGCCAGTGTATCTGTATCACAGAGATGAAAAGAAACAGTGACATCAACATATTGTTGATAAGTCCACACCGGAACGTGCACCTGGCATCATAGTTAACATGCACAGTAATAGGTTAACACAGTTAAGGAAAACTGCACAAATGATGGTATTGCATGAAATGAAAAAAAATATGTCTGTATATACCAAAATGAACAAGAGATGTTTTTGTGATTTCAGCAGAAAGTCTGCTTCCTTGTATTTGAAACAACAGAAGACCAGCTTCATTGCTGATTTGCCTGTTTGTCAGTACAGCTGTGTTCTCACAGAGGCATAAAGGCAAGTTTCATGTCTCATTTTGATATTGCTGTTGTCCTCAAGGGGTTAAATGTGAAAATAAATTACGAAATAAAACTAATAATAAATCACCCGGTTCTAGCATGAACAACCAGCATTTTGTGTCACAGCAAGTGAAACAAACCTAATATTTTTGTTTTCCTGCACAATTTCCCCAAATATCAGTCATTCGTTGTCAGTGTGATGTCAATATATGTATGGGAAACCCTGTTGTAGATTAAACAACACTTGGTTGTGTCACTAAAGACAATTTTTGTGTATGTTTGCTCTTCTCTTTCAGATCTACATGCATGGTGATCTCCGGCTCTGTGGGTGATCCTCAGTCACCATGAAAGACTAGGAACTCAGCTCTCCAAGGGAAATGGCTTGTTTTGTAATATCCCTGCTGCCCTGCTACCTGGTGTATGACTCCAGCTGCCTGTGAAGGGCCTGTCAACTGTTTATGGGAACTACTACTGTGTATGCACTCTTGAGGATTTAAGCTTTTCCAACTCTTTTTTTTTTTTCCTTTTTTTTTTTTTTTACCCCTGCTGTCAAGCCATAGCAACAACGCTTTGCAATAGAGTGGGGAGGCGGTGAGACAATGGCAAACAACTCATACAGCGGGGTGAAGAACTCCATGGTGGAGGCCAACCATGATGGAGAGTTTGGCTGCACGCTCAAAGAACTGCGCTCCCTTATGGAACTGAGGGGTGCTGAGGCAATAAACAAAATTGGAGAATCTTATGGGGATATTCAAGGATTCTGCCAGCGATTAAAAACTTCACCTATAGAGGGTAGAGTAACGTTTCCACTACACTCAACATGATGACTGTTGTTTAACTGGATCAAATACAGGATGTTTTCACAACAGTGCTAGTAGCAAGTGTTTGTTGGAATGCTAATGTGGTGCACACATAGTTTAGGAGGCGTGTCATTGGCCATGTTATCCACATTGTGGATACCTTGACATCACTTCCTTGGAAAACTCATATGCCAGACAGGTGGCCAGGCTGGTTGGCTCTGACCTGGGCCAGTCCTGCTCTATTTCAAGGCCTGTGGATATGTCCCTCACACCCTCTCTCTCTCCCTTTTCACCTCTGTGTCTCTGTGTGTGTGTGTCTGTGTGTCTCTGTGTGTAGGCTTCAGACAGACCAGCTGTCTGCCTGGGCACTGCACCAGGCTGCAGGCAGGTCAATGTCCCACATGTGGCGGACAAAACGGGAGGCTGTAAGGCTGGGTAGTAATGACTTGAACATGTTAGGAGAGCTATTAAAAAATGAACTCACTCCTTCCCTGTGTTTCTCTTTTGCCACCAAACCGTTCACCGTAAAGATAGGAGCACACTAAACGCTTTGGAAACATTTCCAGTTAGGCTACAGTAGAACCTCACACAGCAGTGGTGGTTGACAGCACCACTCTTTTTTTCTTTTTTTTTTTTTAACTACTTTTTCTCTCTCTGTCTCAGTTTGTCTCTCTATAGACAGTCTGCCTAATCGCCAGTATGACCTTGACTGAACTCTTATGGGAGGGGATTTTCAGTTTGATCCCAGATTAAAACGGCACCGCATATTCACTGTAGCAGCAACAATCCTCTGTATGCAGTGTCTCAAAGCAAGTCAAAAATTTCCAAACCAAAAGGAATGCTATGAATACCATGCTATGCTACAGCACCAAGCATCTCTCATTCAAGAATCACTACTGCACCATTTACTTCTTAACCTTTCATTTATTGACAGGGTGGTCAGTGCACAAGGTATACCATGCAGTCTCCTCTGCTGCTTTCATTGTCAGTTCTACAGGCCAATAGGCTTTTGTCTGAACTGTGAAGAAAGTGCTGAATTGGAATTTGTCAGTTGGAGAGAGAGTGAGTTGTCTAAACATGCATGTGGCTGTGTCAAGTTGGTGAACACAGAGGCCTGTCATATTTGTAGCATGAGTGACATTGGTCGTTTCATAAGTGTTCTTGTCCTCCCCTACTCATTCTACCTAGTCCACACTGCAAAAAGAAAATGTGGCTAGAAAAATTAACTTTTCAGCAGTCTTTGTTTATAAAGCACAAAGAAGTCTTAACACAGTATTGGTTTCTCTGTAAGGGTGTGAGTAGGTAACAGAATACTGGTAGCATGTTTGGAACATCAAACGACTTTAAAACTAAGCATTGATTTTCAACTTCTGCTATAACTTTCATCTGTATCAGTATTCAATCAGCCATCTCTATTCACCATCTGCAGATTATCAAAGATAACTTAAAGACAGAGACAAGACTGAGAACAATCAGTTTCTGGATTTCTTTTTTAAGGTAAACACAAGAAACTTGTGCTACAGAAACAAATCTTTGAATTAATAATTTTACGCTGCGAAGCATAGACAGCTTTGACCCAGGTTGTAGAAAGTTTTGATTTTACTTTTGTGCAAATGTACTGCTCTGATAAGCTTGACTAGGTCCACATTTCTTTCTCCTCGCAGCAGGTGCTGTCCCACTTGGTACGCCGCCACCGAGTTTTGATACTTACAATCAGCTCATTCGTCACTGGCTTGGGAAATTAAGCCATCATTTAAGATTACAGCAGCTCGACAATTGAAAAGGGATTTCTAATTAGTTGGTTGGTCATTTCTCGAACTTCTTAAGACAATCCTTTGCTAATCCTCCATGTTTCTGAGTTTTTTTTTTTTTTGTTTTTTTTCTTTTTCACCCAAAGAAGTTTGAGTGAACTTTCTTGTTGCAGCTGTGCATGAATGTACCACTCGAACTAGATTTCAAAATCTAAGATTTAGAGGCATGGCCTGTTTGGATTAGGGTAATTTTAATATAGCATGGCACTACCACTGCTATTTTCCATGCTACCACGTAAGTCTGACTATCTCTAAGGTCTCCCAATTAATTTTGATTCAGTTGATTGGGCTGTGATTCAAATTGATTTTGGTAATTAACATGCCAATGCTGAGTGTGAAAAGAGTTAATTATGCTCACTGTACAATGTGCCTTCTAAACTGTGACAATGAACTCTGCCAAAAGCTTATTCAAATATTACATTTGTCTGTTTGACAAATGTAAACCATTAACCCAGTCACAGTGCTGCAGTCTAGAGAAATAAAAGGTGAAGCCTGAAGGGCAATAATCACAGATAGAAAAGATCAAAACTAAAGGTTGAAAATTTTTAACCAACTTCTTGTTTTTACACGTGTTCTTCTAGTTGTGCTAGTTTGCTGTACTTGTCAAACAAACAGTGTTTCCAGAGTAATGAGGATACCCTTGTGTGTTGGAAAGAGAGCTCACCAATACCTGAAGCTCTTATTTGTATGAGCTCATTTCCTCCGTGCGTGCAGAATGTTTATTCTGTTGCTAAACATGATAAAATAAGCACCAGTTAAGTCTCAGTTTTACCTCTCTCCGTCTCCGTTTATCTCCTGTTTTTTTATCTAGTTGCATAGTCGGTTACATATCTTAGTATCTAATCTTAGTAGCATTGCAAAGGGACCTCCGTCATGTCTTTGCACATAAAAATCAGTTTACTCATCATGGGAAACACTATTCAGATTGTGTGAGAATAGTCGTATAATGTTTGTGTTCTTGTGGGAGTGTTGTCAAGCCTGAGGAAATAACACCAGTGGTGTCACCAGGGTTACCTTGGTTTAGGCATGGCAATGACAAATTTGAACTTGAAGCTTGCGTTGCATGTGTGGGGCATGGCATTTTGGAAGTCTGGCAGAGAAGGTCCATTGAAAAGCGCATTATGGAAAGTGTAGGATGCAGGTTGTTGGAATTTTAATGATGAGCAAGACCCCCTACTTAGCGAGGACATTGGGTAGTAAAGGGTGGCAGACTTGTCAATGGTGTGTCCCAAGTCAAGAGAAACAATGCTGCTGAATGGAGTCTACTTAACTGTCATAGTCTTGCTTGAAGAGTCAGGATGTCTGAGCCTCTGCTGCATCAGTTGTTTTTTAATGCGTCTCATGATTCCCCCAGTGGTGTGTAAGAGCAGCATTAAATCACTGGAGTACTGTTATAACAAAATTCCCATCCTTTTACCACGTTTTCTCAGCATTGAATATCACAGCTCAGGGTCATAGCATTGTAGTCCAGAGTGTATGCAGATGTCTGGATTTAGGATTGGAATTGCTTTTCTCTTGGACGCTCAAACCAGTCGATGCTTAAAAGCAGTATGTGGTTTGATCAAGTGGAGCGTCCGTACACGCCCGGAGGAGAATCAGAAACATACAAGAGCTGAGTTTTTGCATGTTTGTAATATTGGAAAAAATGAAACCACACTGTATCATCAATACTTTTAGCTAGTCCTACTCTCACAGCAACATTTCTTTACTCCCTATTGGATCCTCTGGTTCCTCTGTATAATGACATTTATTAAATGTGCAAGGCCACTTTGCGTCGATATTATTGATGGTGTTCCCCTATCGCTCCTTTTCACAGTTATGCCCTGTTGATTGCTGTTTTAGTGGAGTCAAATATTTGGGTTCCAGCCTATTGATCTGATCGACTGTGGGCTGAGAGGCCTCCACAATTGGACGGCAATTCAAAAACTGACAGGCTCTCTGTATCTGTCATTCCAGACGCCACACCCCCCCATTGAACAGGAAGGTTCAGACTGTTAAATGATAGCTTACTCTTTGTGACTCAAGGGGGTTAGCACAGCTTGAATTCATGTCTGAATTCAGAATGATGTGCTTAAGATTGGCTTTTGCCAGTGAGGGGATGTAGCATATCGCCAGAACCTGCTTTTGTTAATGGAGCTGTTCAGTGGGAAATGGGGAGGTATGCTGTGAGCACAGTTGGTTTCTTGTGTTTCCTTTTACTTATTAAAGATGGGCACAGGTGTCTTAGGCTTTGGCAATTCATATTGTTTTGGTGATTTTAGAACCTTAATCTGTGAAGCAGATAACAGTTAAAACCTGATTTTAAATTATTTGTACCACTTTGAATAACTGATGGTTGATCAGACTCTAGCACAAACCTTTCACACATTTAGTATCTGTGACACTGTCCCCTTATGTTATTCATAGTCTAGCATGATGCTGAAGTATGGCTTACCAGGTGGGAACTGATCTCCCTCAGTGGTCTTCCCAGAATTCCTGAGATGGGTGGTGATATTAGATTCACAAAAGTGTATTACCAAAACACATTTTCTGTATTCTGTGATGAAACTGCATGAAAACGTCCATTTACCACCGCTTTTTGTGAAGTGAAATGGTCATGCTATAATAATGAGGAAGTAGCACTGTGCTGTTCCATTCGTTAAGCAAAGCCCTGCTCATTAGCACAGAATCTGCTTATGTGCAACAACGCCCAAAATGCCCTGATCGCTTGGAAATGAGAAGGAAGCGTGGGGATGTAATTGCTAAAACGACAGCAAATGGAAGTTCAAAAAACAACCACAGTGATTATTTTTGCATGTCATAGTCACTAAATCATTTTTTAAAGCTATAGGAAAAGTGAAAGGCTTGCCTACTTTATGTGGCCAGACACTCTTTTACCATTTGAGTCATTTGATAATGCATTTTTATTTTGTTGTTGTTCCACCTGACAAATGGATGATTTTTCACAAATACTGTTGTTATCCAGTGGGTACTTGTTGTGTAAACCCTAAAGATCAGGTATTTCCATGATAAAATAATACTATAACTTGAGCAGGGGTGATGGGAATCCCATAATCCATTCATCCCTGTTAGATTCTGAGTGTAATATCATATTAACATACCCAGAATATGGGTTTAACATTTCAGCCATATTAACACATTTATCTCATTTTATTTTTTTTCCTGTTTGTGCATGTGTTGCAAAGGACACTGAGGACGTTCATTCAAAAATACTGACAATACACACACGAACAAGTAAACTTAACAATTTCTTAGATTCAATTAACTTGTTTAACAAATTAATCTACATAAAAATGTTCTTATTTGCACTGAAAAGCACAATGTAAATCTGTAAATTTGTATATAAGCTTCACATATAATATTCTGACACACTTCTGTCATTCAGACAGAGATTATATGTAGGAGAAAGGAAAGAAGAGCAGGCATCCACACAGTGCTGTCATTGTTGCAGTGGCTCTTGTCTCTCTTCTAGAGTCCAGAGGTCTCATGACACAAAGACCCTCGGTGTCTAATGAAGCTTACCTATACAACGGTGTGTGGGATCCCTCTCTTTGTTGCATTCTGTTTAAACTCTCTGGGCTATTGTGAGCATGGAACTGCACATATTCTCTATTGAAGTAAGACAGCTTTTAAATAGCTTGTCCACTAAGGGGTTAGTCTCATTGTCCTGGACAGTGTGTTGGCACTTCTCTGTCTACAACAGTAACGTGAAGGCAGTAAAAAAAAATAGTGTGACCCTATTTCATTTGATTGTGACAGACTCGGAGTGAAGGCTTACCTTGACCCCTCTCAAGTGGCTAAAATGACAGTACTCAGAGGGGTCAGCTGGGGACAAGCATCCAAATTAAATGGTTAATGATTAGCTGCTTGACTTGAGACACACTCTGGGTGCTAAAATGATGTGAGGGGCCAAGGCCAACCTATTTTCTGTTTGTGTATCCAAGGGAGGGACGGCATGTTGATCATCCTCTGTCACTTGTGTTCACTGCTCTAATGCAAAGGGAAAATGTGGTGTAAAATTGAACAGGGTATTAGCTGTCAGCATGTTTTCATTAGAGGCGTAGAGAATCAAAGCAGACGGTGAGAGACAGCCAGGGAGCAGCAACAGGCAGCTATGCAGAATAAACCCCATAGCCTTTTTAATGTGCTGTGCTAGTGACTCATTGTTCTTCTCACCTCCCTTTTTAGAAAAGTATGTGTTAGTGTTAGGTTGTAATGTCAATTAACCATGTAACTAGGGATAAAGGATTATTCTCTTATTTAATGAAGTAGACCAAAATGTCTTTAAAGTGAGAAATGGGGAGTAATGTGAGAGAAACAGAAGCAGAGAGGTCATGTTTTAATTAAGCTAGATCTATACCCACGAATTTACGCAGCATGCACCAGCCTCTCCTCACTTTAGGAATATATTGAAGCAAATCAGGAGTAAAGTGAAGTCCCGTTGTCACTGATGTAATTTTATTATGACCATGTTGTAAAATGTTAAATGTCAGCAGGGACAGATCAGTTTAGATTGACTACAAATGCATTACTCATTTTATTTAATTGAAGGATAACTGATTAACCAGTTAGCCAGTTGACACAAAATCAACAGCATCTTTGGTAATCATTTAAGATGTTCTTTGGGATCTCCTGGACATGTGTCCTCTATTTTCTGACATTTTGTATGATTTTATAAGATATTTAATAGTGAAAACAATCAGTAGTTGCAGCCCTACAACTGCTGTATGTTCAAATTACGTTGCTTACTACAATGATGTATTTATTGTTTAGATATTTTGGAGTGGAAAAATTGTGGATAGATAGATAGAAATGGTGGAATATGCAGTAATTTGGGGGGATAAAAGGGAAGAACTGTCAGAGACGTGTGAGAATTGTGAAGATGAACTTCAGGAGATTTCCCCTTCACAGTAAAGAAAGGCCGCCTCAAGAATCAGTTTCAGATTCGGTTACATATGTGATCACTTAAACAGTCATGTAACCACACACCTAAAAATCCCTGACAACAACTGTTGATTGGGGACGGAGATTTCAGTTGGTATCAGGTATTAATCTGACAGTATAGTTAGTTAGTTAGTTAGTTATTAGGTTTTAAAGTTATATCAGAGTTTGTAAACAGAAGAAGCAATTGCAGCCCACAGAGCTTCATAAAACGTCTTCAACAGTTTTTTGGTTCTCAAATGCAACGCAGCTGTTATGTCTGGTTGCCTTCTTTCAATATTGTATATTTCGGTTAGTACAGGTACTATTTAATGAATTGTTATTTCAGTGCTCTAAGATTGGACAGCATTGTAGTGTAAAGGAAGAAAGCCTAATCAGCACACAGAGGCAGTACGTAGATATTTATTTCACGAGAAGGCAGGAACACTAGGTTTTGTTTGATAAATGGACAGAGTGATGATTTAATTCTTCATGAAGCAGTTGTAGACCTATCTTTCTCACTTTGCCTTGACATAGCGAAGTCTGTTCCCTTTGCCTCAAATAATCAAAATTCAGCTGCAGTCTCCACCATTTTGGCAGCATTTATTGTCACATGACATGGAGAATTGTCTCATTCCCAGATGAACAATGTACCTTACTCCCTGTGCTGTTGTCATTGCACAGACTCATTATCCAAATGTGGTGTCGTGATTTGTATTGTACCTCTAGGCTGTGTGTGTGTGTGTGTGTGTGTGTGTGTGTGTGTGTGTGTGTGTGTGTCTTTCTGTCTTTCTTTCTGTCTGTCCATAAACTGACCCTGCTGATCCTTTTCCCTATTAAGACGCTGTTATTCCCAGCGCAGCTTCCCTTCGCCGTCAGTAGCTCCACTCTTTAATAGTCTCAGTCCTTTGCACCCTCACCCCCCCCCCCCCCCCCCCCCCCCCCCCCCCCCCCCCGAGAACGCTTTCCCACCCCCAATTCTGCTCCACTCTCTCTGCCGCACACACACACACACACACACACACACCACACACACACACACCACAAACAGCTCCCTCCAGTCTGTACAGCCACCCACACACAGTCAGTTAGCAATGAATAGAGCTGAAAAACTGTCAGGCTCATCAAATGTGCGAAGGCCCTTTTGAATATATGACTGTGCCTTGTATGTGGACCATTTGAATGGGTGGCTGCAGAATGCTCTCCCTGCACATGGATGAATGGGTCTCAGGCCAGCCAGACATGTAATGTGTCAGAGAGATGACTCTATAACAGGACAGCAGTATGCGCAGACACCTGTGAGTCTGAAGCTGATTCAAGCTCTAGTCTTTGGGTTATTGATTTAAAAAGGCAGTTTATGGGATCAGCTCTGACCTCTGTTCTCACATTCTGTGCATGCCTGAAAGAGGTGAAAATGTTTGACATGCCCACAGAATGTGTGTCATGTTATCCAGTGTTGTCGCCTCCACAGTGTCCTGTCAGAAATGCGAGTCCTTTGGGGGAGGGTTGGGGGGGACTAGCCTTCTTTCCTTCTTATTTTGTGAATTTGTGAACATATGTTATTTTAAATTATATGTTATGTAAATTTAAAAATCTTACAAATTAAATGCTTTTCTCCTCTGTGTTTCCCTCCCCAGGTCTAAATGGACAGCCTGCAGACATCGAGAAGCGGAAAACAGTGTTTGGGCAAAATTTTATACCACCCAAAAAGCCCAAAACTTTCTTACAGTTAGTGTGGGAGGCGCTACAGGATGTCACACTGATTATCCTAGAAGTGGCAGCCATAGTTTCACTAGGCCTTTCTTTTTATAAACCTCCAGATGCCAAAAGAGACAGTAAGCACTTCATTACAATCCTTTTCCTGAAACTTTGTGTTGATTCATGTTACCGTTAATGGATATTAGTCTATTTATGTTTGGGTGTTATTTTGATAGTTTGTTTTAACATCAAATATGTTATCCAGGACCAGTCAGTTGTTTGTTTCTGTCTCAGTTATTCTGTCAGTTCATTTCATGCTAAAATCAAATGCAATGCCCCCTTCCCTTACTCTTATTTATTTGTCTCAGCTTATGCATTTCAATATGCCTGAAAGATGGGATGACGTGATAATCTGGGGAGACCTGTGAGATCGCTGTTTGGGAACCTTTTGTGTTAAGATTTGCCCCTGTCCCTCTGCAGACTGCGGAAGGGCTGCTGGAGGCGTGGATGATGAAAACGAGGCAGAAGCAGGTTGGATCGAGGGAGCCGCAATTCTTCTGTCAGTCATCTGCGTGGTGCTGGTGACGGCATTCAATGACTGGAGTAAAGAGAAGCAGTTTAGGGGCCTCCAAAGCCGCATTGAGCAGGAGCAGAAATTCACTGTCGTCCGTGGAGGACAAGTTATCCAAATTCCTGTGGCTGAGATCGTGGTCGGCGACATTGCACAAATAAAATATGGTAAGAGGAGAGTTAACGCTGTGTTATTGAGGTCATTTTATTAAATGTAAATGTTTCTTTGATGGATAAAATATAAATCTGTCAATTAGGAACGCTTACGATGAATATCACGTTATCTAAGATTCATTCACAAATACAAGCACAGTCCTAATTTTTGTACGCAGTTCCTCCAAATTAAAGGCATGTTTTGTCTGTGTGTGTTTCAGGTGACCTTTTGCCTGCTGATGGAGTCCTCATCCAAGGAAACGACCTGAAGATCGATGAGAGCTCGCTCACAGGGGAGTCGGACCATGTCAAGAAAACACAAGAAAAAGATCCGATGCTGTTATCAGGTAACATCAAGCCTCAGTTTTATTTTGAGTTCCCTCCTTGTTGAAGGTTGTAAGTTTTGAAGGAAGATTTTATTGAGAACATGATTTAAAGAGTGATCTTGTCAGACATGTTCACCTGCTATTTAAGAAATTATCTCAAAAGCTTGTCAACATCTGCAAAACTGACTGAGCTGATTTGATTAAAATAATACACTGCTCATCATCTTCAAAGTCTAGTTCAGTCTTTATTGGATTTAAATGACAGGTAACCCTCGAGCAATTTAATCATATCAAAATGCAATACATTTTTCAATTTTGGTCACATGCACAGGGAGGTAAATACAGAGACTGACCTTAATCTTATTTTCAAAAATTAATTCTAGTTATTAAAACAAAACCTTCGATGTAATGCCCTTATGTTTTTTGTATTTAATCTGCTGTGCAGCTTTGTAGAAACATCCAACATACACCTGAGGCATACATTCATCAGTTAGGCCATTTGAAAGTACTAGCACTGGTTTGATGCCCGAACTGTAAAGCAGGGACTTTCCCAGTTTAGTGTTAGGACAAATGAACAGTGTGCTCCACTGTAGAGCAACTTCTTATGTTTCATTTATGAGCCTCAAAACCGTGTTTAATATTTGATTTACACCCATCATCCTCATACAATATGAAAACAAAGATTTTACTTGAATCAGCTAAGAACAGTTGAAACCACTATTCACTGTAGTACACAGCTCCTGCTCCGCTTTTAAAGATAAGTCTCTTTGTGGATTCAATGCTATGATGTACATTTGAATGTCTTTAGTGACAAACTGGATTAGAATTGAAAGTGAACCGGTGTCCCTATTCTGCTGCTCAGTGTAATCAATTATCAGCCATACAACACTCCCCAGATGTGAGGCTGTAATAGTTTTGAGTTTTGCTGTGGAGACATTCCATGTGCACAAAGCCTTTTCAGCTCTGTGGTTCTGCTGTCAGATAGCTTTGTCCTCACTGCTCTGCTCAGTTCCCAAGAAGTGTGTAGGGATTCAGAAGAAACACTTTTTGCTTAGTTCATCTGGCTCTCTATTGGCACGCCTCCAAGAGAGAGAAGTGTGCAGTGTGTGTGTGTGCACAGTGTGCAGTGTGTGTGTGTGTGTGTGTGTGTGTGTGCGTGTGTGTGTGCGAAGGTATGTGCGTGTGTATGTGCGTGTGTATGTGCGTACATACACGTTGCTCCACCACTGCTTTTAGATTCCCCTTAGCACAGGCCATATCCCTTATGCCATCACTCTCACGAATGAAAGGAAAGCATCCTCTAATTAACAAAGGCAAGAGAGAATGCTTTCTACGCCTTTCCGTTCAGCCTCTCCATGTTTGCTCTTTTTACTCTGACTGTAGCTTGTCTTCTCTTCTGTTACTTGCTTTTTCTGTATAAATCGACAAGATTTTCCTGTGTCCTGAGAAGGATAGTGAGCCAGAGATATTAAACTCTGGAGAAACCCTCTGGGATTTCCATTAATTCACCCAGACTGACAATTGGCTTTTGATTAAAGGCTGTTGATTAAAGGTTTGGAGGGTATTTGCATCTTCCTCTTTTTACTTGCATGTGCGCCATTCCTTTTGTATTTATTGCCTGCATTTGAAAACCTGCATTTATTTTTCGTTCTTGTGTGTAGCTGAACATGCCACTTGAAAGCACGGCTAAACCACCTTCTCAGTAAGCAGAGGAATCTAGCTCAACATTTAGTCTGAACCAAAATTAAACAGTCAAAGCAACAAATAAGTTAGAAATGTCATGGTCAAAGTTGAAGCTGAAACAGGGTATAAGTAATCTTGGAAGCAAAGTGAAACAGCGCGTATCATTTAGTCAGATTTTGTACGTAGCCTTTCCCTCCCTCCCTTATTGACTCACATTTTTATTTTCCTTGTCTGTCTAAAGGCACCCATGTAATGGAAGGCTCAGGGAAAATGGTGGTCACTGCTGTTGGTGTCAACTCTCAAACTGGAATTATCTTCACTTTACTCGGGGGCGGTGAGGATGATGACGACGAAGAAGAGGAAAAGAAAAAGGAGAAGGAGGAGAAGAAGAAACAAAGAAAAAGTTGGTGTCCTCACTACTTTTTTTACCTTCCTATTTCCATGAGTATTGATCAGTCCATGCATCAGGTACATATGTTTGCACATATGCATCTCACAGGCAGTTTACTTTAGCTTCCATCGAGCCCTTGACGTATTGAAAGCAGAAAGATCTGAGCCTGTGCAGAAAAATGTAGTTGCAGTGGCAGAGTTGAATGCACACTAAGAACACAGGTTGGACTACTTACACAAGCAAGGGGTTCCTCTTACGGAGCTCACAGCAGATTCAAGCTCCAGTGCTGAGCTGTAGGAGGCTCTGCAGTTAATTATGGATAGGACAGCAGCTAGCAATTATTACATTACTGATAATCTGCTGTATATTTTCTTGATTAATCCTTTAGTCTTAAAAATATTAGAAGACAGTTTATGTAATTTCCCACAATCCAAGTTTTTTGTCTTTTCAATGTCTTGTTTTGTCTGGCCAACAGTACAAAACTCAAAGATCTTAAAGAAGATAAAGAAAAAAAGTCACAGTTGAGAAACTGGAACCAGCAAATATTTGGTATTTTACTTTTTAAAAAATGACAAATGTGATTGCTCGGTCATTGAAATAGTTGCTGAATAATGGTCTGTCAGTTTTCTCTCAACAAATTTTTTAATTGACTAACTTTTGCGGATCTTTTTTAATCAAAGAGAATTAACATAATTATATACATGACATGACTGATATTGTACAATAGTGCTTAATGGCACAGTAACTGTGTATTTCCCACCAATTATTAAGTTTGCAGTACTCACTCCCCGGTGTATTTTTCCACAGACAAAAAGCAGGATGGATCTGTGGAAAATCGTAAGAAAGGTAACCACACACACACAAACTAACACACACAGCCATATATAACTGCCTTACAGCTCAGTGCCTACCTTTATGTATTAGCCTCACTCTCCATTTAACAGCACTGGATGTAGGTTAAGGCCTCAATCTGTTAATAATTGGCTACAGTGGTTTTATGCAAGTAATGAGGAGTTGCATATTTTAGCATGACCCTATGTCGGCATATACTTGGTACGGGATGTTCTTGCCTATCCATTGTACTGTCTGACCCTCCCTTCTGTCTCTCTCTCTCCTCTTTTCTCGTCCTTCCCTGGCACATTGCGCTTTGAGCAGCAGGTGCTACTGAATCCAGTTATAGCGATTAGTGATGAGGAGATTAAAGCCATGCAACAATTCTGGGGCCAGAACATCTGCTTTCCCACCCATCTCTCTCTCCGACTCTCCCTCAGGCCCCCACAATTTGATTTCTATTGACGGCCCAATCCGAACTATTCAGAGTCAAACTGTAAGACTTGCACTGGTGCAATTTCAGACTGACAACAATGATAATGAGGCTGTTTGGGGGTAACTCAGACAGCTAGCCAGGCTTGTAGTCCTCCTGGGACACCATGATCAGTAGTGCTTGGGTCTGTGGCCACAACCCTGGCGCTAGTCCCTGGTGCACAGATTCCCTCTGCCTGCCAGGAATCAACAGTAATCCTTTAGACTGAGATTACACAGGCCATGTAAGTGCAGAACAAGCCACAGTCCACAGCAGCTGCAGTAGCTCAGTGATAATGCCCCTCCTCTCCCTGCTGCATACGTCCACACACAGTGCCATGCCAGTCTATACCATAGTAAATCGACAAATTAGACACAAAAAGCAAGACTGCAGAAATGACAAAAGACAGCCACATAATGAATGTTAATGATATTAGCAGAAGTGAACTGAGAGATGGGAAAGATGTGTCAGTTTCCCTGTAGCAGCAGCAGTAGCGTCAGTGCCCCGCAGAACTAATGATTTTATCGTGGTGAGTGACACGACAGAGACCAGCCCCTGCTGGCCTGCCGGCTGCCTCTCCTCCCTGCTTTGCCATTAGAGGCTTTGTGTCTCCAAGGTAACCTGGTTAGATATGGGCTTGGGATTCCTGTCAGTTCTGCAGGCGAGGAAGGGGGGGTCCTGAGGGACATTGGGGAAGAGATGAATGAGATTTATGGGAATTTAACTGGAAACAACTGCTGTGGGTGCTGTCAAGGAAGGAGGTGATTCCTCAGACACATCCCAGTGCTACTAGCTGGTTAACCTGTTCTTGAAATCTCTAGGTGGGAGGATAGTAATTACACTTCCAAATCTTTCTGCTAATTACTGTGCAGTCAGATCACTGCAAACATAATAACAGTGACATTTCCCAAGTTGCACAGATAAAGCACGCAAAAATTTTGAGTGATGTGACATTTCTTCTCATCCTTTCATTTAATGTGTTATCTTGAAATAAAGTGCTCCATTGTGTCATACTTGAAATATTCCCATGTTCCAGGAGTTTTGTCATATGAAGCAGCTGAAGCTACTTGCTGTGACTTGTTACCTGCTACATCAGATAATCAAATGACTTAGGGATACAATCTAGTCTAAACCTGTTGTTGATGTACCTGATTTTCACAACCAAACCACAACAGGCAAGCTAGAAAGTGCTTCATATTTCCTGAATATTAAAGATGACCATATAGATTAGATTATTAAACATTTGACCATATAGTTTATTCATACACTGATGTCACGTTGAGAATACAGTTTTTATTTCTGGTCTTGCAAATGTAAGCAAATAGGCTTCACGTGGTGCCTGATTGAAGAATGCAGCTCTTGTTTCTTTGGATTATGCAGATTTGTTACAACTGCTAGACTGGTCTGATTAGAAAATCCTTTCCATTTCAGACTTGAATCTGTTTGAATATTCAGAAACAGTGTAATGTAGTATCAGTGCCGGACTGTGTGCATTACTTGACACCGGTAGAATGTCGTGGCCAGTGCACTAGTGTAACTGTCAGGGCATTTCATCTAACAGCTATTTCTTGTTCTCTCTCTGCTGCAGCTAAAGCACAGGATGGTGCTGCAATGGAAATGCAGCCTCTGAACAGTGATGAAGGAGCTGATGCAGAGGAGAAGAAGAAAGCCAACCTCCCAAAGAAAGAGAAGTCTGTTCTCCAGGGCAAACTGACCAAACTAGCTGTACAGATTGGCAAAGCAGGTAAGTCGGACAAAAAGAGCTAACTGCTAAAGATGGTACCACATACAGACTTGATGCAGATGTACTCCTTTATCCCCTCATCTACAATAAAACTGTGTTTTTGTTGCCTACATCTCCAACTTTCTTTAACGTCTTCTATTCAGAATTACTTCCATTAAAAGTAGCCTGTTGGTAAATGGTATCCTTATGATTCATTGACCATCCTCTTTCTTCCTTTTCTCCCCCGTTCTCGCCAGGACTGGTTATGTCAGCCATCACTGTTATTATCCTGGTGGTGCTGTTTGTAGTAGACACCTTCTGGATCCAGAATCTACCCTGGGACAAGGACTGCACACCCATTTACATTCAGTTCTTTGTGAAATTCTTCATCATTGGCGTCACTGTTCTGGTGGTGGCTGTTCCTGAAGGCCTGCCGCTTGCTGTAACAATCTCCCTGGCATATTCCGTTAAGGTAAATTCTCCTAGCCAAGTGACCTGTGCCCAGTGCTGACCAGCTTACACTTTAGCCTATTAAAACTAGCAGCCAGGCTGTTAAGTCAAGGAGACTTGGCTAACTGATACCCTAAAGCCAAGCAATGATCCCCTCTGCTGAAGTTGTGGGCCAACATCCTATCAAGGAGCTACTAATTTCAGTCGTATAACCTTTGCACACATTTCTTTTACCTACAAGAAACTATTATGTTCAGCACAGAAAGTGTGTTGTTGAATTTCTGCTTGGGCATAATGCTTTACACTAGCTGTCTGTAATCATTTGATGCATCGTTTGTCTCCCTGCAGAAAATGATGAAAGACAACAACCTGGTACGTCACTTGGACGCCTGTGAGACCATGGGCAATGCTACCGCTATCTGCTCAGACAAGACTGGTACCCTCACGATGAACCGCATGACCGTGGTGCAGGCCTACCTCGCTGAGAAGCACCACAAGAAAGTCCCTGAGCCAGAGAACATCCCCTCCTCCATTTTAGACATCTTGATTCTAGGCATCGCAGTCAACTGTGCATATACCACAAAGATCATGGTAGGCTTGTGAAATGCTGTGTGTCTAAAATATACCATGTATCACACTGAATATCCCCTTGTTATGTATTCAGCTTTAGGAAATTACTGACTGTCTTCTCAATTTTTCTTCAGCCTCCAGAGAAAGAAGGGGGCCTGCCACGGCAGGTGGGTAACAAGACCGAATGTGCCTTGCTTGGCTTTGCTACTGACCTGAAGCGTGACTACCAGGCTATCCGGAACGAGATCCCCGAGGAAAAATTATACAAAGTGTACACCTTCAACTCAGTCCGCAAGTCTATGAGCACTGTGTTGAAGATGGCTGATGGCAGCTACCGTATGTTCAGCAAAGGAGCCTCAGAAATTCTCTTAAAAAAGTGAGAACAGTTTTCATCTTTGGTAATAATGCTGTATGTGTTTTTTTTGTTTTCGTTTTGTTGTATATGTTGGATTGTGTGGTTGGCTTATCTTTATACCAGTGTTCCTCTTGGAATTTTATAGTGACGAGACATGCTCTGATGATTTTACTCAATGAAAGGTTATTCTGTAGGTTTTTTTACTTGCTCCAGCTGGCCAGACTTTGCAGTAAATGATATGTGTAATGGCTTAAGCAGCTAAGAAGTTCAAGCGCATCCCACCCAAGCCCCTTACTTTGCGACTTAAAAACAGGGGCTGAGAAAATGAGCCGGTAACAACTCTGTAAGCCTCTTAACCAAGCAGGCTTCTTTTTAACCCACAGACGGCTTAGTGTGACTTCTTACTACTGCAGCTCACCATTCAAATGCTTTGTCTTCTCCTCTTCCCTTACTCCTTTATCTCATCAATATTATCCTCTTTTTACAATTCTCTACCTATCTTCTTCATCCACATTTCCTCATCTCTCGTAATGCTTTTCTTCCTCTGGATGTTTTTCCCGCCTACACTCCTCCCTCTGTCTCTTAAACTTCTTCTCTACATTTACAATATATCCCGGTTTCCCCTCCCAGGTGCTATAAAATCCTGACGGCAAACGGTGAGTCCAAGGTGTTCCGCCCACGGGACAGAGATGACATGGTTAAGAAAGTGATCGAGCCCATGGCCTCCGAGGGCCTGAGGACCATCTGCCTTGGATACAGAGATTTCCCTGCCTCCGAGGGTGAGCCTGACTGGGACAACGAAAATGACATCCTCTCTGGACTGACCTGCGTCTGCGTGGTGGGCATTGAAGACCCTGTGAGACCTGAGGTTAGCGGCTACACACAGAGGACACAAACAGTATCAGCCTGTGGTTACATAATAATTGTTGACTTCATTGAAACCGCTAGAGAGAATTTGATTTCATGAACAAAAATTGAGTTGTGTGTCTTGGATTATTTTCAGCGGAACCACTCATAATGGAAGTAAAGCTGGCTTGTGGGTACACTTATATCACTAATAAATTTGGAAATAACAGCGCATATTTTCAGACAGTCTGTCCTGGAAGACATTCATCGTGTTGCACTTTCTTGTTCACATGAAAAGTAACAGAAATAGCTGTGTCAAGAATGAAAAAGGAAAGCTAGAGAGAGCAGTTCAAACCTACGCTCTCTTCTCACCTCGGGCTCAGCTGAGTAGTCACAGTGGTTGACGATGTCTGATTACAGTTTTTGGAAAGTTAGAGGAATGGTTGGGAAACAGCCTCCCCCAAATCTGACAGGTGGGGACAGGTGTGCGGCGTCAAGAGATGCTGCGTCAGCCAGTTTTAAACATGAGAAGTGGCTCCACATTTGAGCAAGCGTCAAATACTAACCAATGCAGCAGTTATGATATTGAAGCTTTTGCGGGAGTGCCTCCGTCCAGTCTGTTTACATGTTGTTGAAAAGGAGTTTGATAAGAGCAGTGAGACTCCAACATACAGCTTCTGTATAAATCTAAACCCAACTAAAACCTGAAAGCTGCAGAGCTGCCGAGTTTGATGTTACTAATGAAATCTTTACAACACAAGGAATCATTTGTTTCAATGTTTAGATACAGCTAACATACATATAGCTAAGCTGAGCTTTCATTTTGACATCCCCAGTGATCCACAGGCAAACACAACATGCATTTCCTCCTTCATCGTGTTTCCTCTTTCCGTCAGGTCCCAGACGCTATCAGGAAATGCCAACGCGCTGGCATCACAGTACGAATGGTGACTGGGGACAACATTAATACAGCTCGAGCCATCGCCACCAAGTGTGGCATCCTCCTGCCTGGAGACGACTTCCTGTGCCTGGAGGGCAAAGAGTTCAACCGAAGGATACGCAATGAAAAAGGAGAGGTGGGCCACAGCAAAATACTGTACCTCAGAGACTGTTGCAGATGTACTGTTGGGATTCTATTAGGTTTTGTCTCATGTTTCTAGATTGAACAAGAGCGCATTGACAAGATCTGGCCCAAACTACGAGTACTGGCTCGCTCGTCACCCACAGACAAACACACGCTAGTGAAAGGTAGTTTTATTTTACTGGTTTGTGTGAAAAATGTTTTGTTGTCACTAATTTGCTTGTGTGTTGTTTTAGGCTTCAGTGGTTTCATTTAAAAATATTCATGTTTTACTATTCTAGGTATTATTGACAGCACCGTGATAGAACAGAGACAAGTAGTGGCAGTGACAGGAGACGGTACAAATGATGGTCCTGCCTTGAAGAAAGCCGATGTTGGCTTTGCCATGGTGAGTTTTCTCTGTTTACAGGTGAAATGCTTCAGATATCACAGCTCATTTTATACATGCTATGCCCTGCTCCAGTGCAAACTGGGCCACAACAGTTGGTTCTGAAAAATAATGGTAATGTAGAAGCATAATGATGTTAAACATGTTGTGACTAGATACAGATCCTTGATCATCATCTTTTTGTCTCCAGGGTATTGCTGGCACAGATGTAGCCAAGGAAGCGTCTGACATCATTCTGACTGACGACAACTTTTCCAGCATCGTCAAAGCCGTCATGTGGGGACGCAACGTCTACGACAGCATCTCCAAGTTCCTCCAGTTTCAGCTAACTGTCAATGTGGTAGCTGTCATCGTAGCATTTACAGGAGCCTGCATCACACAGGTTAGCACCAACAGAGTTTGTTTTACATTGGTAAAAAAGCTATTGCAGCAGCAGAGTGAAATTAATAAAAAATGTATCTCAGTCACAGGTTTTCCAGCAATAAAACACAAACACAGGGTCTGATAGCATTTTGAAAATATAGAAATAAGTACTGTGCACATTTTAAACTGGCTTATTTGCTGTATATTGTCTCTAAAATGGTCTATTCATTGAATTCCCTCATGCATTAAAAATTATAAGCACCTGTGAAATTTCTCTATTTTTTTGTCTTTTGTTGCTTAATTCTGCAGCCTTATGGAGTGATTTAAGTGTCTCCAACAAAATACTGCAGATTTATTTAAAATATTCATATATTTCTCAGCTTTTTCAAAAAATCCCTGTAAAAAAATCCTGTAACCATAACTCTTCGTTTTGTGACACTATTTGTTCGTGTGCACAGAAACCAAATGGCTGTCATTTCTCTCAAAGGATTCTTTTCCACCAACTATCAGTCTTAGACCTCATGTCAAAACACACACTCATCATTGCTCATGCTACCACAGCTTATAAACATGCACTCAATTACAGAGCAGGCAGCAAAATAATTTCTTTTTCACATGCAATTTAGTTCATTGAGTCAAGTGGAATCTCTCTAATTGATGCTCTAAATTTCCTTGATATTTGTGATATTATGAAACTAACTGAATTTGGTGTCTCTTGACCTCCAGGACTCTCCACTGAAAGCAGTACAGATGTTATGGGTCAACTTGATCATGGACACCTTTGCATCACTAGCTCTGGCCACAGAGCCCCCCACAGAAGCCCTGCTGCTAAGGAAGCCATATGGCCGCAACAAGCCTCTCATCTCCCGCACTATGATGAAGAACATCCTCGGTCAGGGAGTGTACCAGCTAATCATCATCTTTTCTCTGCTCTTTGCTGGTAAGAAGCTGTATTAGGCATAGGTCTTCATGAGCATGGAGCCAGTGGACTGGCTGTATTTATCTTTGGTAAATCTATCCATTCATTTTTTTTTAAAAGTCCTCTTGTGACTGTTTCTGCAGGTGAGAAAATATTTGATATTGACAGCGGCAGGAACGCACCCCTCCACGCCCCACCCTCTGAACACTACACAATTGTCTTCAATACCTTTGTAATGATGCAGCTTTTCAATGAGATCAATGCCCGCAAGATCCACGGAGAAAGGAATGTCTTTGATGGCATCTTCAACAACCTCATCTTCTGTAGTATTGTCTTTGGTACCTTCATTATCCAGGTAAAGTAGACTGCAGACTTCTGCAAAGTTGTAAGGTTTCTCTGTGAATGTGCTGGTGACTCATACATGAAAAGAGATTATCTGTCCCACAAGCCTTCAGCCTGTAAAAATCAGATCTAAAAGTTTGCTCTCTAATTACTTACTCCTCTCTTCCTCCTGCTCCTCTAGATTGTCATAGTGCAGTTTGGAGGGAAGCCATTCAGCTGCGTGGCTCTGACCATCGACCAGTGGCTGTGGTGCACTTTCTTAGGCTTTGGCTCTCTACTATGGGGACAGGTAAGATGAGACAATGCAGCCGTGCTGCACCTTCAGTTGGCTAGTTACAAAACTGTGGGATAACACTGCCCCCCTGTGTGGGAAGTGGCGTAGTGGCTGAATAATGGTGGTGTAGCAGTACGCTGTGACGGTACTCTTCCAGACTAAAACTGATTTAAATAGATTTGGAGCAATTCATATGGCATAATTATAGTGCATAGTACATAGCTTTAGTCAATCTTGAATTTTTATGTAGCTACCTGAATGTGTTGTCACATTATCAATGATGTTTTACATTGATGAAATTTAGCCTTGTTTTTCCTTTGAACAAAACTAATATAAACATTGTTTTCAATCAAGGCTATTTTTCTTTTAATTTAGAGCAATTTTTAAAAGTTATACCACACTGTATAATTTAGATTGAGCTGATGCAGAGTAAAGTTTTGTAGTTAGTTTGCTGTTGTAGTTAGGAATAATTGTGTTTATACTTTTTGTGAGAGACTGAGGGATAAGATTCCTGAGTTATGACTTTTTTAAGTAATTCTAGTTTGCTCTTACTGCCCACACTCATCCTCCAGTGCAGAGCATGTAATATGTCATTATCTACTCTTGTCAAATCAAAGAGAAAGTGTTCTTTAACAAGACGCAGATACCAGATACCAAACCAGAGTTGTTTCTGTCCTTTGTTTTTGAATATGATGCAAATACAGAAACCATATTTCCCAAAGGTTATCAGTAGTCAGTTAAGGTCAGGCATTGTGACATTGGGTCATTTCAAAATATGATGCAGGGCTGCAATTAACAATTATTTTACTTATCTAATAATGAGCAGGTTGTTATCACAATTAATAGAGTAATTACTTTGTCTATTAAAAAAAAAAAGAAGCCTGTTCTAATTTCCCAGAGGCCAAAGTGGCAACTTCGTAGAACCTGCTGCATCTGAGCAGTTCCCCAAAACTCAAATATATTCTTTTAAAAATCCCCTTTGACACAAAAAGCAACAAATCCTCATGTTTGAGAAGATGTTATTGATATTATATCATAATATAATTAATTGATAATAAGATATTATTGTGACGGAAAACAAGTGAGGAGTAGGAGGAAGCTTTTGAGTGGAGTAAAACTGATGTGACTGATTTAACACCAGATAGTTAGCTTGCATGTTGGTATCTTAAAATGATGAAATACTTTGTTAGGATTAGTGACGTCATCATTATCAGCTTTTAGTAACTCACTTCCGAAGGTGTTGTTATCTATTAAGTGTGTAACTTCACTGTGGGATCGGTTTGGAGACTCGGAGCAAACCCGGTGACGTCAAACTGTCTGTCTCCCATCAACCCTTTGGCAGGGCTGCTAATTTTCAGGGTCACTGGCTGCTTAATGTCTGCGATGTACCCAGGAATGTGGATCATCCTGCTGTAATGAAATGTCAGTTTTCCCTCGCTGAGGAGTGTCACATTATTAGCCGACAGTGCTGCTGATGTAAATCATGATGTCTTCCAGGTAATCTCTACAATACCCACCAGCCGCTTAAAATTCTTGAAAACAGCGGGCCACGGCACCCAGAAGGAGGAGATTCCTGACGAGGAGCTGGAGGAGCTGGAGGACATGGATGAGATCGACCATGCTGAACGGGAGCTTCGCCGAGGCCAGATCCTCTGGTTCCGAGGCCTCAATCGCATCCAGACTCAGGTAACAATCTATGGACCTTCCTGTGCACCACCCGAACACTGCAGCCGACACCAAGGGAATCAAAAGCCATAAACCCTCCACTGCTCTTCCAGCTTAAAATCTATGTTTTGTTCTTTCTTTCGGCATTCTTAAAGAATGGCTTGTGCCCTAAAAACAAAAGCCCTTCCTCTATTTTTTCTGTTCTGCTTCTGAGCTAAAGCAGGTTCCTGTGCCTATTTCTGACTCAGTCTGAATCTATCTGCTAAAACACGACTAGTTTGAAGGTACTGATGAGAATCAACTGAATTGGATTGGATGGAAAGCACGCTAGAAAAGCTGAATGTTAAAAGACTATTGGCATGGCTTAAGCTGTAAGTATGGAAGGATTCTGCAGAGAAAAGAGTGAAAGTGAGTTCAGATTTTGTCGGAGCTCCCTCCGATCAGTGCCTTTAAACCCAACCGTCCCCTTTTTTCCTCTCTCTTTAACTATAATGCCTGAATCCAATTTCCAAGTGACATTTTTTCTATGGTTACTGGTGCCTTTTCTTTATTTTTTCTCTCTTTTCTCTCTCCTCTGGCTGTGTTGTGTTTTATTTCCTCTGGGCTTTCTCCTGTCACGCTGTCTGATTCTTTGCAGATGGATGTAGTGAGTGCGTTCCAGAGTGGAACTTCCTTTCAGGGGGCTCTAAGGCGGCAGGCCTCCAACTCCAGCCAACAACAGCACGATGTAACCAATGTTTCTAGCCCTACACATGTAGCCTTTTCTACTACCACTTCTGCCACTGCCGCCAACACCGCTTCTGCCACTGTGGGGTGTGAGTGCGTGTTCTCCTCTAGTGCATGAGACTTTTATTTCTTCTGTTCTTCTAACATCTTCCTCCTCCACTCTACTTCTCACCTAACGTTGACACGTTTACTCTCTCATGCTTCTCCTAATGTTCCCCCGTTTTCTTCCCAAAAAAAAAAAAAAAAAGACCAAATATACCACATCTTCCATATTGCTTCGATAACACTGCTGTATATATATGTACCCTGTAGCCAGGTCGCTTCTGGCGTCAAGGTGTTTTCTCTGTGTCATCATGTTTTCTGTTCTGCTTCTGCTTTGGTCTCAGAAATGGAAAGGTTTTACTGTTACCTCGGGGTGGGGTGGGTGATGTGCATTTAATATTTGACAAAAATTACATTCTGCATTGACAGTCACCAGGTTTGTCTGCAGCTGCCTCAGTCTGCTCTGTGCCCCTGCAGCACCCCATGGGTCTGTGTCGCAGCTCTCTAGTCCCTAGCTGGGTAAATGTTTTGAGTATATGCCCATGATCACGGCCTAAAACAATAGAGACAAACCATGACATGGACCTCTGTGAGGAAAATCTATCCAGGTGTCAGTGGACAGATAACGACTTCTTCTCCTGCTGGGAGTTTGCTGTGAAAAACAGGGAGTGTTAAGGGGGGCGGGGGGCTCCAAAAACAGCTTATAGCTGCAGTTAGTTTGTTGATGTGTTTGGATGCATAAGTTTGGAAGGTCTGGCAGCTTTAACACCATGCCAGTCGTCGGTTCAGCGTGGCAGATCGCTGCGTGGAGAGCTGATGCGGATCATTTCACAGTGGTATTTCCTCTTGACCGTGACCTTACAAGGATTGTTGTGTGCGTGTTGACAATGACTCTTTTTCTCTTTCAGATCTTCCCAGGCAGACCATCTGACCAGCAGTTGATTTTAAATGTCTAACAGATGTCACTAAAAACAGCTTAATGGAATAAATGACTGTGCTCTTGAATGTAAACATGTGGGACTTTCCCAGACACATTAACAGCAGATCCAATGTTGTATGTCCCTGGCATATTGAACAGTTCTGCAATCTTACAGTAATATTTAGGTCTGTCTCAGGTGGGATTCCTCTCCTGACATTTATGGGCCAACGGCTGCTTCCCTATTAAACTCTGAACTTTTCCTTTCAGGCACTCTTGAAAACAGCTGGACCATCTCTTCTCCAAGTCTTTTTCTATGTGATTACTTGTTGGCAGAATGTATCCACCTGGCAATGTGTTGCCAAAGAGACCCTAAAAGAATGAATACCACTGACTCCCCACATATTCTTCTTTAGATTCTGTGAAATGTGTCATGGGCTATACTCAAAGGTTTACTACCATTGAACACAAGGTAGCGCCGCGCTCTGCATGGGTTCAAAGTCTCTGGTCTCGTTTGTGAGTTTTTTCTCTTTGTGCTGTTTTTGACATGTATACCAGCTTGTAGACATGCTTGGCTGCTGCAGCTTTTTTGTTTTTACTCCACAAACATTAGCTAAAACTGACCACCCCTTTCTCTCTCTGTCTGTCCTCCTCTTTCTGTCTCTATTCCTCTGCCTCTTTCTGTCTCTCTCTCGCTCTCTCTCTTTACTCTGTCCTAAGCATGTCCAACAACAGTAAATCTTGTGTCCAGCCTCTGTCCTTCTCTCTCTCTGGATGTGTTCTTGTCTAAAGAACAGCATCTCTCTTGTCTCTTGGTTCCCTTTTGCATTTTGATTAATCAGACACAGGTCTCTACCAATTGTTTTGTGAAATACTACCACTGTACTTACAAACAAAAAGAGCATACATTGCATTGAGTTTGACACTGGTTTGTACCCACCCCAAGGGTTTTACTACATGACTTTAAAGAATAGTTTCGCTGCAAGCACAGAGTCAAGTGTCAGGTTTGTCTTCACCGGGTGCAACTCAAGTTTCCTATCTCTCAGAAACACTTTTAGTTTACCCAATACTGCAATTTGCACTTGCTCCACACAGGCTTACAGTCCAGGCTGTCAAACATACTGAAACGCGATGCATTTTAAATGCCTCAAGTCTATCTCATGCCTTTAGTTGTGTGCGTTCGCATGTGGTTTTAGCCTGCCTGTGGATAAGGCTTTAAATCAGTGACAGTCTGTCTGTCTCTAGAATAAATAAATTGGCAGGACAGAGGGTGACTTGGACAAACAGGAAGTGACACAGTGAGACTGGACTGAATTTAACTGAACAATAGACTTTGACAGTGGCTTTGAGGCTAACGTAGTCTAGAAAATGGTTAAGGACAGCTTACAGTTAACTGGTTTTATAAGTTGTAATTTGACTACTAGAAATAACTGCACACTTGCACGTGTCTCTGAGAGTTCCCCCCTCACTGATAATTTTTTGCCCCTAAAACTCACCTATTATTGACTCAATAAAACCTACATCCTAGGTTTTTATCTGTGGTGTTTTATCCAGGTGTTAAAATGCAAAACACACGTATCAGTACTGAATGTGACTAAATATGTGCCTTTCCCGCTCCCTGTCCCTTCTCCCTCCCTACAGATCCGGGTGGTGAATGCATTCCGCAGCTCCATCTCCCTCTATGAGGGGCTGGAGAAGCCTGAGTCGCGAACATCGATCCACAACTTCATGACCCACCCTGAATTTCGGATAGAGGACTCTGAGCCCCATATTCCCCTCATAGACGACACCGACGCAGAGGACGACGCTCCCACCAAGCGCAACTCCGCCAGCCCCCGCAACACCACGCCCACGCCGCCCTCACCCTCGCCTGCCACCACCGTCGCCCCCACCACGCCGGTCTCCCCCTCCCCAAACCAGAACAATAACGCTGTGGAGAGCAGTAACCACCTCCTCCCAGAGGCTCCCAAATCAGGAACCCCCTCGGCCCCGGGGAGCCCCCTACACAGCCTGGAGACCTCCCTTTGATCTGACCCCCTGCGCTCCACACGTTACCACCACTTTTCTACCCACCCACCAAGGAGCTCAACTCAGACAAAATGAACGAACACTTGGAGAAGAGAGACGAAGGGCTAGAAGGAGAGCAGAGTCACGTGTGAGCTTGGCTTGGGCTGGACTAAAAGAACAGCAAACATTCAGAGGAATGTACGGCTTGGTGTGGATGCTTTGGTCTTCTTTTATTTTTGGTTCTTATTAATACCCCACTACAACACAAGGACTCCACCCCTCCCTCCTTGGTAACTTTTGTTTTTCTCGGTAAACAAGGGGTGATTATAAACTCAGATTGAAAGTGACCTGTTTTTATTATTCTATTATATTATTATTATTATTAATATTATTTGAATTGAGAAGGGGAGGTCTTCCTCCTGGCTTGAAGATCGATGAAAGAACCTTTAGCTTCTCTTTTATCTGAATGGTGTTGTATATTTATCTCTTTGGCCCTTGCTCATTCAAAACTTATTTCTGCTCCATTGGCTGTTAATATTTTGAGTTATTTATGTTTTTGGAAAAAGCAGGTCTGTTTACAAAGTTTGTAGATACTTTTTTTCTGTTTGTAGGCAAAAGAGCTTCCTGATGTATGATGCAGAAAACTGGGACAGAAAAAAATGAATGAGAGGATTATTTCAGATACTGCTGTATTTTCAGGAAAAAGGGTGTTTCTATTGAAACTTAACTATTTTTGCCTGCAAGTTTTATTTGTTATATATTTGTAGATAAATATAGAACCTTCTAGCCAAACCGATAAACACTAAGGCTTGTATAGAAAAGAGGTCCACTGGGCGAGGTGTTTTTCACAAGAGACGGGACGGGAAAGACAATTAGGGCCTCTGTTCACGTTGCTATAAATATTTACTTCTTCCATTTCTTCGATAGTTTTCATGTGCACAAAACCTTCTGGAGTTCTGGATTCTCTTTTCATTCAGTATGTTGTGTTCGAGGATTTCCACATGTTGAAAGGTTCACTCATTAAAGGGATTTTAGAAAAACCATCTGGGCCCGTATTTAGCAAGCATCTCAGAATCACGCCCTAGAATCCTGCTGAGAGTTGGACTAGGAAACAAAGTCTTACCTCAGAGTCCGACACGAGGTCCTTATGAAGCCTCCTAAGGTCACTTTCAGCAGGAAGTAAAAGTTTTCCTTTTAGCTTTTTGTGGTTTTACAAGCTCTTGTTGTTGTTATTAGTTACATTCAGAAGAGGCTAACGTAGATGAATAGCAGGAAAAAGAAAACCGCTTCACTTGTGGGTGTATGTCGAGCTAATTTATGCACGTTAAGGCTAAAAATTAGTTTTTGCCAAAACTCAAAAGCATTAAAATGACTTACAGTTCATCAGCTTTTTTAAACAACCAGCTGACTTCAAACCAGTGCTGTATTTCGAGCTATTCAACCAGTGCGCCTATTTATTTTTTAAATAAGAAGTTCATATAGACTAAACGTGAATGTGCCTTGGCTACAATAATAATTTAGATGATGCTTGGTCCCATCATTTGCCACCTTCAGGAAACTCCTCACAGATTAAACTCTGTTACTCCTCCAGCTAAAAGTAGAACTAAATAAGCCTCATTCTTCAAATTTTGGGATTGTAAGGACTGACTTCTGTCTGGATGCTTGATAAATATGGATCCTGGTCTTTTTTTTTTCTTTTTTTTTTTTTAAATTGGTGCATTTTTGTTTTTTTGTTTCTCTCAGCAAAACGTTAGCCCCCTGCCAATGTACAATACTGACATTTGTTTACTCAGGCATAGAAAAAGGTATTTAATTTAAAAGAAATCTATAAAGAAAAAACCTTTTAACTTCAGACTTTGTGTATTTAGATAGTAAAACATTGTCTTGGTCAAAAGCAAGTGAATTATTTTCATTATTCAAATGTAGTTTTACTCCTCCGAGTTCTGGTTTGTTGACCTTTTTAAAAATCAAAAACCATGGAAATTTTTTTTTTTTTTTTTCTTCAGCCCTGTCCATAAGACTCTTTCATCTTGATTAAATGTTGCTGAATTTGATTTGTTTGTAAAATATTTTTGACACCTGATGTACTGGAAACGCTAAAGAATTGGACATGTGCATTTTTCAAGAATAAAGACTAGGCATACACTGGTATCTATCTGCACAGGGTACTTTATTTCATAGCGTTCCTTGGGGAAAAATAATTTTGATACAAATCATGATAAAAAAAATGTACCTTTGTATTTTTATGATAATGATGATACCTTTCATCGTACTAAACAAATTTTGGATGATTTGACACCAATCACGTTATATGGGGAGGGTTTTGGCCACTAAAATGTGTGTTGTTCTGGAATATTCATCTCAGGGTGCAAATGGTGTGAAAGAGAACAGGCCTCTTTTAGTTTGTTACTTAATTAAATGTTTGGGACGGTGCTTGTCAACCACACAGGATGTCTCCGGCAGCAGGCTGCAGATTCTTCCTGCAGCCTTCTGGCGGCCTCCGCCTGAAGGGCCGTGGACAGGGGAAGGAGGTGAAAATGTTAAATCACAACGTTCTCTGAGGAAATAAGTTTGTTTTCCTTGTTTTACAGATGACAAAATAGCAGCTAGGATTGCATATAAAGTGAGAAATTGAAAAGACAAGCGGAATCCATATGAGGAGTTTGTTCTGTAGCTTCTTCCTGTAATGGGAATGAATGTTTTTCCATCTGTTTTATGGATTATTATTTTTTTATCTTTTAACATTTGGAAATAAAAGTACTTCATGTCTGTTTATCTTGAGCATTTTAAATGGATATCGTGATTGGATTTACATTTGAAACTTGTCGAGTAATGTGTATGGTTTTTAAAAATAAAAAATGTATTTAGCCTAACTGCAGGGCCATGTTTTTCATTTATCATGCAGTAGTTATGGGATGTAAATACTGTGATCAAAGGTGAATGCTGCAGAGCTGAAAATCCCTCATTTCTACAGTGACGCCTAGCAAACATTTTTGCAGACAGGGTGATTTTTCTCGCAAAGGAGTATGCATAGCTTCACTGCATAACTTTCCAAATGTATTGTAACCATTGTAGCTAATGAACAAGGTTAAAGGTTAAATTCACTATAAACTAATATTCTTTGTTAACTCCCGGTAACTGTTTGTTTATGAGTATAAATAAGGATGAGGTGGTTTTTGTTACATTTTTGTTCAATGATGTTTGGAAATTTCTTCCTCTGCAATCTGTGAAAGATTCAGATTATGTAGCTGCAAAAGTTAAACTGCCTCTTTTATCTTAACTTGGTAAGGGCACTTGCTCTACAATCTCTATTCCTGTCTAACTGGTTTGTCCTCTGCAAACAACAGCTGATCCAAGTTTATAACTACTGTCTTTGTGAGCAGTGATGATAAGATGAATTCAGATTTATCCCTTTCTCAGAACACTTCTTGAGTTCAGTGTTATGGTTGGTTCATCTGTCAGGCACATACAGAAGGTAACTTCATCTGTGCAAGCTGCCAGTGACTCTTACACAATGGACGCTTTGTTGGAAATGTTTTCCACAGCTGTCTCTCCTCCAAAAAGGCCACCTCTTACTACTGTGCAGGGGTGACACAGGCTTGTTTACAGCAGGTCAGCAATTCAGGAAATTTGAAGACTCAGTTTTTCTGTTTATTTTGTTATATATGAAACAACCAAACATTGTTTTTTCTTTTTTCTTTTTTTTTATGATATGCACATAAGAAATTAAACATAGCATAATAAGGCATAAAAAACGTAATTAAAAAGTCATAGTATAGTAAGACACAAAAACCATCACGTAAACGTCATAGTATAGTAAGGAATACGAAACGTCACTATATAGGAAAGCATAAAAAACTATAGTATTGCAAAAAAGTCTTTTTTTCCACTTTAAAGGCCATACTATACTATGTGTTTTTTTTAGCTTTTTATGCCTTTCAATACTATGACGTTTTCATGCCATACTATCGTAAGACTTTTTTTTCCACTTTTAATGACATACTAAAGTATGTTGTTTTTTTCACTTTTTAAATGAAAAAAAAGTCTTACGATAGTAAGACATAAAAACGTCATAGTATTGAAAGGCATAAAAAGCTAAAAAAAACATAGTATAGTATGGCATAAAAAGTGAAAAAAACAACATACTTTAGTATGTCATAAAAAGTGAAAAAAAAGTCTTACGATAGTATGGCATGAAAATGTCATAGTATAGAAAGGCATAAAAAGCTAAAAAAAACACATAGTATAGTATGGCCTTTAAAGTGANCATGCCATACTATCGTAAGACTTTTTTTTCCACTTTTAATGACATACTAAAGTATGTTGTTTTTTTCACTTTTTAAATGAAAAAAAAGTCTTACGATAGTAAGACATAAAAACGTCATAGTATTGAAAGGCATAAAAAGCTAAAAAAAACATAGTATAGTATGGCATAAAAAGTGAAAAAAACAACATACTTTAGTATGTCATAAAAAGTGAAAAAAAAGTCTTACGATAGTATGGCATGAAAATGTCATAGTATAGAAAGGCATAAAAAGCTAAAAAAAACACATAGTATAGTATGGCCTTTAAAGTGAAAAAACGTCATAGTATAGTAAGGCATAAAAAATGGAAAAACATCATTGTAGATTAAGGCCTAAAAAGTGAAATAACGACATAGTATAGTAAGGCCTAAAAAGTGAAAAAACTACATACTATAGTAAGACATAAAAACGTCACAGTATAGAAAGGTAAAAAAAGTAAAAAAAATGTCAAAGTATAGTAAGGCATAAAAAGTCAAAAAAACAACATAATATATTATGGCATAAAAAGTGAAAAAAAATGACATACTATAGTATGGCATAAAAAAATGGAAAAACATCATTGTACATTAAGGCCTAAAAAGTGAAATAACGACATAGTACAGTATGGCAAAAAAGTTAAAGAAAATGTCATAGTACAGTAAGGCCTAAAAAGTGAAAAAAACACATAGTATAGTATGGCCTTTAAAGTGAAAAAACGACATAGTATAGTATGGCATAAAAAGTGAAAAAAAAGTCTTACGATAGTAAGACATAAAAACGTCATAGTATAGTAAGGCATAAAAAATGGAAAAACATCATTGTAGATTAAGGCATAAAAAGTAAAAAAAACCACATAGTACAGTAAGACCTAAAAAGTGAAAAAAACAACATACTATAATATGGCATAAAAACGTCATAGTATATTAAGGCCTAAAAATTGGAAAAAAACGACATAGTATAGTATGGCATAAATAGTCATAAAAACAACATTGTACATTAAGGCCTAAAAAGTGAAATAATGACATAGTATAATATGGCAAAAAAGTGAAAACAGGTCATAGTAAAGTAAGGCCTAAAAAGTAAAAAAAAACAAAAAAAAAAACAAACTCAGTATAGTATTGCAAAAAAGAGAAACAACTACATACTAATGTATGGTATCAAAAGTGAAAAAACGACATAGTATAGTATGGCATAAAAAGTGAAAAAAACTACATACTATAGTAAGGCATAAAAAATGAAAAAAACTACATAATATATTATGGCATAAAAAGTGAAAAAAACGACATACTATAGTATGGCATAAAAAAATGGAAAAACATCATTGTAGATTAAGGCCTAAAAAGTGAAATAACGACATAGTACAGTATGGCAAAAAAAGTTAAAGAAAATGTCATAGTAGAGTAAGGCCTAAAAAGTGAAGAAAAAACACATAGTATAGTATGGCCTTTAAAGTGAAAAATACGACATAGTATAGTATGGCATGAAAAGTGAAAAAAAAAGTCTTACGATAGTAAGACATAAAAACGTTATGTATAGAAAGGCATAAAAAGCTAAAAAAAACACATAGTATAGTATGGCCTTTAAAGTGAAAAAACGTCATAGTATAGTAAGACATAAAAACGTCACAGTATAGAAAGGCAAAAAAAGTAAAAAAAATGTCAAAGTATAGTAAGGCATAAAAAGTCAAAAAAAACAACATAATATATTATGGCATAAAAAGTGAAAAAAATGACATACTATAGTATGGCATAATAAAATGGAAAAACATCATTGTACATTAAGGCCTAAAAAGTGAAATAACGACATAGTACAGTATGGCAAAAAAGTTAAATAAAATGTCATAGTACAGTATGGCCTAAAAAGTGAAAAAACACATAGTATAGTATGGCCTTTAAAGTGAAAAATACGACATAGTATATTATGGCATAAAAAATGAAAAAAAAGTCTTACGATAGTAAGACATAAAAACGTCATAGTATTGAAAGGCATAAAAAGCTAAAAAAAACACATAGTATAGTATGGCATTTAAAGTGAAAAAACGACATAGTATAGTATGGCATAAAAAGTGAAAAAAAAAAGTCTTACGATAGTAAGACATAAAAACATCATAGTATAGTAAGGCATAAAAAATGGAAAAACATCATTGTAGATTAAGGCCTAAAAAGTGAAAAAAAAAACACATAGTATAGTATGGCAAAAAAGTGAAAAAACTACATACTATAGTAAGACATAAAAATGTCATAGTATAGAAAGGCATAAAAAGTCAAAAAAACGACATACTATAGTATGGCATAAAAAAATGGAAAAACATCATTGTAGATTAAGGCCTAAAAAGTGAAATAACGACATAGTATACTATGGCAAAAAAGTGAAAAAACGTCATAGTATAGTATGGCATAAAAAGTGAAAAAACTACATACTATAGTAAGGCCTAAAAAGTGAAAAAAGTACATACTATAGTAAGGCATAAAGAGTCAAAAAAACGACATAGTATATTATGGCATAAAAAGTGAAAAAAAAGTCTTACGATAGTAAAACATAAAAACGTCATAGTATAGAAAGGCATAAAAAGCTAAAAAAAACACATAGTATAGTATGGCCTTTAAAGTGAAAAAACGACATAGTATAGTATGGCATAAAAAGTGAAAAAAAAGTCTTACGATAGTAAGACATAAAAATATCATAGTATAGTAAGGCATAAAAAATAGAAAAACATCATTGTAGATTAAGGCCTAAAAAGTGAAATAACGACATAGTATAGTATGGCAAAAAAGTGAAAAAAAAACACATAGTATAGTATGGCAAAAAAGTGAAAAAACTACATACTATAGTAAGACATAAAAATGTCATAGTATAGAAAGGCAAAAAAAGTAAAAAATGTCAAAGTATAGTAAGGCATAAAAAGTCAAAAAAACGACATAATATATTATGGCATAAAAAGTGAAAAAAACGACATACTATAGTATGGCATAAAAAAATGGAAAAACATCATTGTAGATTAAGGCCTAAAAAGTGAAATAACGACATAGTACAGTATGGCAAAAAAAGTAAAAAAAAAAACATCATAGTACAGTAAGGCCTAAAAAGAAAAAAAAAACAAAAGAAAAAACCCACATAGTATACTATGGCAAAAAAGTGAAAAAACGTCATAGTATAGTATGGCATAAAAAGTGAAAAAACTACATACTATAGTAAGGCCTACAAAGTGAAAAAACTACATACTATAGTAAGGCATAAAGAGTCAAAAAAACGACATAGTATATTATGGCATAAAAAGTGAAAAAAAAGTCTTACGATAGTAAAACATAAAAACGTCATAGTATAGAAAGGCATAAAAAGCTAAAAAAAACACATAGTATAGTATGGCCTTTAAAGTGAAAAAACGACATAGTATAGTATGGCATAAAAAGTGAAAAAAAAGTCTTACGATAGTAAGACATAAAAATATCATAGTATAGTAAGGCATAAAAAATAGAAAAACATCATTGTAGATTAAGGCCTAAAAAGTGAAATAACGACATAGTATAGTATGGCAAAAAAGTGAAAAAAAAACACATAGTATAGTATGGCAAAAAAGTGAAAAAACTACA